GATAGATAAGAAATTATCAATAGAAGGAAGGCAGTAGGATTAAGAGGGATTGGGAAAGACTGCCTATATAAAGTGGGACTTTAGACTGGACTTGAAGAAAGCCAGGAGGGAGAGATGAGGAGGCAGAGCATTCCACACACTGGAGACAGCCAGGGAAAAAAAGCTGAGAGGTGGAGGGTCTTGTTCATGGAATGGCAAGGAAGCCAGGGTCACTGGATCAAAGAGTACATAGTAGGGTCATTGTTTGTCCTTCTTTTTCAAAGACCAATGATGTCCTGGGTTGATGTCATGACTTGTGTGTGAATTGGATTTAATCGAGGCAGAGTATAAATAATGTAAAGGTAGACTAGAAAAGTAAGTTAGGTCATGAAAGACTTTGAATGCCAAGAAGAACATTTTTTATTTAGTCCTGGAGGGGTTAGGGAACTATTGGAGTTTATTGATGAGAGGAGTGACATGGTTGGACCTGCTCTTTAGGAAAATCACTTTGTTGACTGGGTGGTGCAGTGGATAGAGTGCTAGGCTTGGAATCAATTCAAATGTGACTTCCAATGCTTCCTAGCTGTGTGATCTTGTGCAAGTCACTTGTCTCAGTTTCCTCATCTGTCAAATGGAGATAATAATTGTACCTACTTTCCAAGGTTGTTGTGAGGGTCAAATGAGATGATAATGTAAAGTGCTTAGCACAGGGCCCGACACATAGTAAATTATATACAAAGGTTAGCTATTGTTATTGTCTGAATGGAGGATGATTTAGAGTAGTGAACCTCCTCTGAGCCTTTCTGGACTTCAGGAAGCTCAAAGAACTATTGTTCACAACCAGAAGTGTTTATTAAGCACCTACTATGTGCTAGTTACAGTGTCCATATGAAGAAGTCTAAGACTTAGGAGAAGATCGTGTCTCAGTGGAGATACTAAGTTGTTGTTGTTTGCCCTTTGTTCTCAAAAAGGACCGTGACATCAGGGAGGTGATGCCATGACTTGCAAGTGAATTGGATTTAAGTGAGAGAGGACTGCACAAAGTCACCAGCCTCACTTTCTCAGATACCTACAGGTACATAAATCTGAACAAATAACAATTCAAGGTGTAAAAAACAGTGAGTCACTTAAGTCAACAAGTATTTATTAAGTACCTATGTGCTTAAGTACCCAGTGCCAGGCACTAGGCCTTAGTTTCCTCATCTTTAAAATGAGGAGTTGGATTAGATGGCCTCTGGGGTCCATTTTAGCTCCCAAGGATTCGGGTTCTATGGTCTTCTTCAAGCCAATAATAAAACGGTTATCACAAAGGAATATGTGGTTGATCCTCAGAACCAATGGTACAGATAGGATTATAGAAATTCAGAGGAAGGAGGAAGTGAGCTGTTGGATAGAATGCTGGGTTTATTTAAGCAGCTCATTATAGATTAAATCCAATATCCAGGGCTAAATGATTCTTTTATTTTTTTTGCCCTTTTATTTCTAGCTTCTTCTGTATGTTGAGAAGCTTTCCAACCAGGAGATACACAAGAAAGGTTGCTCTTAGTGGCTCAGCCCAGACTGACTTCCAACAGGGCCCGAGATGACAGCTCAAATGAGGAGCTAATTTTTTAAAGTAACACTCCTTGGTTTATAGAAACCAAGCCTGGGTTGGTGCCTTTGTTACAGCAGGAGGCAAGAAAAAACAAATTCTGATGCTGTCTCCTTTGCTTTCATAGACTCGCTTTCGTAACCAGGAGCCAGCCTCTTAAATTCTTTGGCTCTCCATTTAATCCAGTCCAATCAACTGTTGAGTTGTTAAAGTGAGAGTAACCCTGGGGTATACAGACCAGGAGAACAGCCAGCATTTAGGGTCCTTGTAAAATAATCCTCTGGTCATAAAAGGGCACTGGGTCACAGTTTACAAATGAGATACCAGTAGCCCAGTGCCCTGGAGCCCCAGTACCATTTGTAGTACAATGGCAGGACTAAATCTGGAGTCAAAGGACAAGAGTTCAAATCCCATCTCTGCTGGACTACTACCTAAGCAACCTTGGGCAACTCCCTGGGCCTCACCTTACCTGAAAAAGAGGGGTTTGAGTAACTGGTCTCTGAGGTTCCTTCTGGCTCTCTAGGATTTCCTTCCTATGGTCCCCTTTCCTTTTATCTATCTCCAAAGGCAGCCATTTAATGGAGGTTCCTGTTTATGCCACCTGGCGTTCAAAGGCGGGAATTGTAAGGAGCTTTGCACTCCCTTTACACAACAATAGTTGTTACTGGACAAAAAAGCTGAGGACCTTCTCCTTCAGGAAGGGATTGTGTTTTCTGTTTATTTTATGCCCATTTCCACCACCACTCCCCATCATATCTATTTGGGTCCCTCGCTGTGGTCAGCTATTACTTCTGTTAACTATTGGTTAATAATTACTACATTGGAAAGATAATGGGACCTGGAGTTAGAAAACCTAGGTTTGAGTCCTAAATCTGCTGCTAACTACCTCCGGGAACTCTGGCAAGTCACTTAACTTCTCTGGGCCTCAGTTTCCTCATCTGTAAAATGAAGGAGCTGGATTATATCAGGAGTCCTTAGATGGGAATCAATAGATTTCAGGGGGGCCATGAACTGAATGGGAAAAAAATACATCGATTCTCTAATCTCTAACTGAAATGTAGCATTTCCTTTTCTTGTGAATGTAGAATGCAGACAAGAAACATTACTCTGAGAAGGAGTCCACGGGTTTCACTTGACTGTCAAACACACAAAAAGGTTAAGAACCCCTGGACTAGGTGGCTGCTGAAATTTCTTCATGTCCTAGATTCATGATACTATGTTCTATAAATTCTAGGTTCCTTTAAGTTCTAAATCCTCTGATCCTGATTTATACCAGGCTACTTATGTAATTTTTCCCCCTGTTTTTTTTTTAAAGAAAACCTTAAGTGCCAAGTCTTCAAGGAAGGTAGAAATAAGAATTCGTTTTAACTTTTCCCTCAAACAATCCTTGCTCTTATATTTATTATTTATTTTAGTGCTGTCACCAATGATAGCAAATCTCCCCTCACTTCAAGAAGAGGTTTTCCTTGAGGCAAGACTTGTAATAAATTATATACTTGGCAGTTTAAAAAATGATCTTTTAAATTATGGTTTTGTTACTGAAAAATGCAGAATATGTCCTAGGGTCTAATAGTTCTGTCCCATCATGTTTTGTTTCACATTTGAATGTCACATCTTTCTTACAGTTGAGGCAAGGCTGAACCCAGACCCTTTCCAGAATAAGATTCCACATCAAAGGAGAACAGTAAAGGGAGAGTTGTTTCAGGATTAGAAAAGGACTCAAAATCCAGCAATTTCTGTCCAGGTTCTCATTTCTCCACTGACTTAACTGTGACTGTGTCACACACTTTCAGAACTGGAAGTGAGAAATCTTAACAGTCTTCTTTACCTACTTCATTTGAATCTCAGAGAAGGTTAAGTTACTTGTCCAAGGTCCCTTAGCTAGTTAGTGTCAGAGCTGAGATGAGAATCCAGATCTCTTGACTCCCAAGGCCAGTGCTTTCTACTTAACTTAGCTAATGTTTCTAGCATCTTCATTTCCTCATTGGTCATTGAGAAAAAAAGGAGATATTAATGCCTGTCATCTCTTTCCCTTACAGGATTATGCTTTTATTAGTTTGTAAATGAGAAATAAAAGATATTGATTGTTCTCATCTAAATATTGTAATTATTATCTGCTAGAAATATACTTCACAGTTGCAGAGAAACCTGGGAAGACTTGTGTGAACTGATGCAGAGTAAAGTAAGAAGAACCAGAACTATTTCTATAATAATAACATTGTAAAATCAAAAACTTTAAAAGAATAAAGAGCTCTGATCAATGAAATGACTAAATATGATTATAAAGCATGCTACTCATTTAACAGAAGACTCACAAACCAAGATTTTTTTTAATGTGATTGATGTGGGAATTTTTTTTCACTTTTTGGTATACATGTTACAAAGGTTTTGTTGTTCTTTTTTTTTTTTTTAATCTCATTCTTTCCATTAGATCGTGATCTCAAGACCAGGGACATTTTTTTTTGTTGTTTTTCTTTGTGTCCTCAATGCTTAGCCTGGCACACGGTAGGTATTTAATAAATGCTTGTTGACTTGACTTTCTCAGTTGGGGAGAGGAGAGAAGGAGAAGAGAAAATCAATGACTATTCACTAAAAAACAATTAAAATACATATGATGAAAAGCCCAAATTATAATTCAAGCTCTGAATTCAAAATAAGGTCTAGACTAGTTTAGGGAAGGCAGCACTGTACCATGAAAAAAACAGTGATTCTGGAGACTCTGGAGGACCTGGGTTCAAATCCTCCCTCTGACAGCTGTATAACCTGAGGTCTCCAGACCTCAGTTTCATTTTCCGTAAAATGAGGTGGTTAGACTAAATGAAGTCTGAGGTCTCTTTACAAAAAGGATTCTTAACCTGGGATCCATGAATTTGTCTCTTAAAAAATATTTTCTGGGCAGGTAGGTGGTGCAATGGATAGAGCTCTGGCCTTGGAGTCAGGAGGACCTGAGTTCAAATCCAGCTTCAGACACTTGACACAAGTCACTTAACCCTGATTCCCTCATCAAAAAAAGCATGAAAAAATTTCATAACTATATTTCTTTATAATTGCTCTTCTTTGCCAAGTCATTATTTTATTTTGTATGTTTAAAAGCTTCATTCTGAGATGGGGTCCATTGGTTTCACCAGACTGTCAAAGGGGTCCATGAGATAAAAAATAAAAAGGTCAGGATGGTCTTCTCTAGCTCTGTGATGTTCTGAATACCGTGCCTGGTACATGGTAAGTACTTAGTAAGTGCTCTATTGTCTACCCTAGATGATTTGTGCCCTGTATGACTTTCCCTTGAAAAATGCTGTTTTAATGAATAGAAAGAGCTGATTATGTTTTGCTTTCAGTCACCCTGGAAAAAGGGGGAATTTTTCATTCAAATAAGTCATTAAATTTAGACAAAGCAAATTTTGTTAGAAAAGTTAGCAGAGACCCAGCTTGGTCTTATAGGTGCCTCCCAGCCTGCTTCCATCAGAGAGGATGTGCTGGGCCATCCCCCAACTGCTATGAAACAGCCCCACAGCGGGGCTGTGCTTGGCACTGCTTTCCCTGCTCAGGAAAATCCAAGGCCGCAGGAAGCATGAGGCCATGGAGGACTTAAGGACACAGGAATCCTTAAACAAAGCCCCATAATTTACTGGAAATTTAAAATGTGTTCAAAAAAAACCACCCACCAGAAGCCTCCGGTACTGCTGAAGCTGGTTTGTGACCTTGAGACCACTGTTCTTTAACTTGCTGGAGACCAGGTGAGTTCTTCTGGGACACCCAGCATGTGGAGCTTTTGCCTAAGCTTCTTAATGTCTTTGGGTAGGTCACTTTATCTGTAGGGGCTTCAGTTTCCTCATCTGTAAAACGAGAGGAATGGGGCAGCTAGATGGCGCAGTGGATAGAGCACTGGCCCTGGATTTGGAAAGACCTGAGTTCAAATCCAGCCTCAGACACTTGACACTCACTAGCTGTGTGACTCTGGGCAAGTCACTTAACTCTGCTGCCTAGCCAAAAAAAAAAAAGTAAAATGAGAGGATTGGAATGAGCCAATGAGGAAGATCCAGTTCTATGAAGACACCCACATTCGGAGCCTATGTGCCCCGGTGATCAGGAGTAATTATTTGGGCCAGAGAGAGTAGCCTTTGGGGCAAGACGGTGCTGCATGATCCAAGGGACAGGTTTGAGAAAGTAAGCAGAGTCTAACCAGAGTTCACAAGGCAACTAAATTCAAGGGGTCAAGGAGGATTCGAGAGACATCAGTACTGAGTAGGTCAGGGAAAACACACTGGAAGGCAAGAACACTGCTGGCCATATAGTAAGACTGTCTGGGTCAAGAAGCTTCAGTGGCTCCTCGTCGTCTCTAGGCTCAAGGGAAGGGGAAGGGAATGAACATTTACATTGCACCTACTAAGTGCCAGGCCCTGAGCTAAGTGTTTTTTTCTATAAATGTTGCTTTTTATAAATATCTCATTTGCTAAATTACAAAACTCCCCACAAACTTTGGATGAAGTCCAAGCTCCTTCATTCGCAGCAGCCCTTTGTAAGCTGGTTCCAACCAGGCTGTATGTGCTGCTTTCTCTCTTCATATACTCTGTGTTCTCAGCAAACTTGCTTGATGTCCCCCTTTTTTGGGGGGGGGCCTAGGCAATGGGGTGAAGTGACTTGCCCAGGGTCACACAGCTAGCCAGTGCTATGTGTCTGAGGCCAGATTTGAACTCAGGTCCTCCTGAATCCAAGGCCGGTGCTCCGTCCACTGCGCCACTAGCTGCCTCTAGCTAGATGTTCCAGCCCTCATCTCTGAACCTTTGCACTGTCCTCTGTTCCTGGAACACTTTTCTCCCATACTTCTGCCTATCAGAATCTCAAGCTTCCTTTAAAGCTCGGTCAAATGCCACTGTCAACATGAGGCCTCTCCTCACCCCTCTTAGCTGTTAGACTCCCTAAATTCATGTGTATTTATTTTATATTTATTTATTTGCTTGACGATGGACATGTTGTCCACCCCTCTCCTCCCCCTCTAGAATGTTAGCTCCTTGAGAGAAGGCATTGCTTTTATTTTTGTCTTCATATCAGCAGTTCCCAGCATGACTCCCGAAGCAGGATAGGCACTTAATAAGTGTTAGGGTTTTCTTTGTTTGTTTGTTTTTTGGCAAGGCAATGGGGTGAAGTGACTTGCCCAGGGTCATACAACTAGTAGGTGCCAAGTGTCTGAGGCCAGATTTGAACTCAGGTCTTCCTGAATCCAGGGCTGGTGCTCTATCCACTGCAGCATCTAGCTGCCTCTTACTAATGACAAATGAAGGGAGCAGTAGGTAGATCCGGATGAAATAAAGGTTTGTCTCAGGCTCCTCCATGTGAAACAGTCTTCTCTGCTGAAGGTGTGACAGTCACACCCACTCCTTGTTTGCCTACCCCAGAACTGCAGCTCTGAGATTCATCCCTTCATCAATAATCAATCAACATGCATTTTTAAAGCAAAATTAACCAAAAGAGAGATGTCAGCTACAGGGAAAAGAGAAGACAGTTCCAGGTGTCTGGGAGAAGTCAAAAGGCACTGGTTCGAGTCAGGATATTTAAAGACAGTAAAGCTAACCACACACATTAAATGTGGGGAAGAACTGACTTTATAGATCGACACTGGGAAAATATCTGGTGGTCACAGTAGATCGAATGTAGAAACAGCCAGAGACTGAAGGCTCAACCCCAGTCCTTTTACTTAATGCACGGTGGCCTTGAGCAGATCAGTTAAGCCTTTCTCTGACCTTGGGTTTCCTTACTTAGGCTGAACTGGCTCGGGGCTTCTCCACCTTTTTTTGTGTCTAGACTCCTTTGGTTGTCTGGTTAAACCTACAGACCCCTTCTCAGAAAAATATTTTTTAATTTAAATTTAATTTAAATTGTAAATTAAAAAAATTTTAAAATTTTAAAAAAGATATATAGGATTGCAAAGAAAATCAATGATATTGAAATACATTGATCAAAATTCAAAAAGCCAAGTTCACAGACCCCCCTGGACTAGAAAATTGCTAAGTATTCTTCTGGCTCAAAATCCTAGTCTTATTAGAGCCAATGATGTAGCTCAGGAATGCCATGTTACTTTTTAAGAAAAGTTTAACACTTTGGGCTAGAGAAGATTTATTGGAGCAAGAAGATAAGACTATATGCAATAAAGAGTCACCACTAGGTTATAATTTATGCACCTAGAAAGGGTGTTTGTTCAGTCATTTCAGTTGTGTCCAGCTCTTTGTGATGCCATTTGGCGTGTTTTGGATATTGGAGTGGTTTGCCATTTTTTTCTCCAGCTCATTTTACAGATGAGAAAATTGAGGCAAACAGGGTTAAGTGACTTGCCCAGGGTCACACAGCTAGTTAGTGTGTGAGGCTTGATTTGAACTCAATAAGATGAGTCTTCCTGACTCCAGGGCCAGTGCTCTATCCACTGCACCACCTAGCTGCCCCTCTAGAAAGAGTATACACATAAAATAAAATGTAGACTCCTTGAGGACAGGAACTTTTCATTTCTGCCTTGATATCCCCAGTACCTAGCAGAGTTCTTGCCACATAATATGCATTTAATAAATGATTAATTGATGAGGTCATTGATCTAAATGTTTTCCTGGAAAATTTTGTGAGAATCAGATTTTTGTAAATCTAAGGTTGAATTTTCCCTTCAGAGATATTTGGCTTTCATTTTTGTTCCTTAAATTGTTAGCTATTCCTCTTACCTTCTCACCTCTCTTTCTGTCAAGGGCCCCCCCCCACCCCGATCGGAAGAAGGTCTTAAATTATAGTGGGGTAGCTTTTAGGATTTTCATCTGTCCTTGTATAAATGCTGTTTGATTTGGTAAGACTCCATTAATCCTTTTGGAAGTGGGCCCAAGGTAAGTACTAAATCAATAATTTGCTTTGTAAGGATTAAAGGCCAAGCTCCACCTCGGCTAGGCTGAGAGGTGACCTTGAGTTATCAAAGGCTGTGCTGGTGAACACAAGCCCTGGGGGTGTCCTGTCCTGGTGCTGGGGCAGTATTAGCATGTGTCTGTGTTTTCTGAGCGCCAGCCCAGCTAAATCTAGAGAAGTTCCTCACCTGATTGGCCTCAGGCTGATACATGTTTTCAGCCACTGAGACCTCAAAAGCCACCAGTTTCCATAATCACTTCCAAAGCTCAGTCCTGATGTCACTTTGCAGGGAGGTCTCTGGCACGTTACCACAAAAAATAAAAATAACAATCGCTAACATTTATATAGTTCCTTAAGGTTTGAAAAGCTCTTTCCATATATTATTTCATGTGATCCTCACAACAACCTGTGATTCGATGCTATTATTATCGTCATTTTACAGATGAGGAAACTGAGGCTGAGATCCGTTAAGTGACATTCCCAGGGACACATAGCTGATAAGTGTCTGAGGCAGCGTCTATCTTTGAATTGGTTCTGTTCAGAGTTTAGATGGCATGCTGAACAAATCTGCAAATTGCTAAGAAACTGGGGTTGCCTAGCATGTTGAAAAACACAATCAGAATAACAAAAACAAAAAACAAAAAAACCTGGAAAGGCTAGATTTTAGCCTGTTGTGTTTTAGCTCCTGGAATAATGAATGGGCCCATGATACACAAGACGCATCTTGACACAGTGGAAAGAGAGTGGGGCGAAGATTCAGAAAGGCCTGAATTCAGTCCTTCCTCTGACATATTCTAGCTGTCTGATCCAGGACAAGCCATTTAACCCTGTAGTGCTCATAGACAACTCTCTAAAACTACCAACCAAGTGCATCGGGAGAAGTTTTCTAATTGGGAGTTTCTTACTTACATCAGTGACATCATAGATCCAGATAAATCACACATATGTTAAATAATTAATAATTCATTAAAGATATTGATATAACATATTCTTAATATAATTAATGTGAAATATTATGTTAATATATCATATAACAATGGACCTATATAATTATATATACTATATACATTTTGCATAAATTATACTATATAAATATAATTTGTTGTTATTCAGTCCTTTCAGTTGTATCCAGCTCTTCATGACTTCATTTGGGGTTTTCTTGTCAAAGATGCTGGAGTGGTGTGCTACTTCCTTTTCCAGCTCATTTTCTAGATGAGGAAACTGAGGCAAACAGGGTTAAGTGACTTGCCCAGGGTCACATAGCTAGGAAGTGTCTGAGAACAGATTTGAACTCAAATCTTCCTGACTCCAGCCCTCTATCCACTGTGCCACCTAGCTGCCCCATAGAAATATAATAATACATATTAGAATAATGTATTACATAATTAAATGTTATATAAATATGATATAAATTATACTATTTAAATATAATAGTATAACATAATTATACTAGATAAATGTTACATAAGTTATATAAAACAATACAAATATTAATATAATATAAATGTCCAATAATATGACTCTATAAATTATATAAATATTAATGCTATATTATGTAAGATATATATTCATATGTTACAAATTATAATATATGTAATTTATGTGAATCTGTGATTTCACTGATGTAAAGAGTACCCAATAAGGAAGCTTCTACATAATAAACATATATATATATATATATATATATATATAATCATATAAATCTCTATACATAATTATATAATATATTTTATTTTTCCCCAATTACATGTTAAAATAATTTAAAATATTTGTTTTTGTTTTGAGTTCCAAATTCTAGATACATATATATATATTAAATATGTATATTTTTCTGGATCTGTGACTAAATATTCATGTATAT